GATGTGGAGGAGATGATGTGGAGGAGATGATGTGGAGGAGATGATGTGGAGGAGATGATGTGGAGGAGATGTGGATGTCGTGGAGATAGAATAAACTAAGTAAAAAGGTATGTGTTTGTGCCCAAAGCAGGTAGCACTGCAGCGAGCCCGGTGTCTCCACTGCTGCCCTAGCAGAGGGCTGCCCGCGCCGCAGCGCCAGCGCACGTGGGCGAGGGGCCGCCCCGAGCAGCCGTGCACGCGGGGCCGCTCCTGCTTCACCTGCGGAGCCTCCCTACGTGGGCACGGAGCAGGGCCGGGGCCGAGGGCGGCCGCGCTGTCTTGCCTTGCTGAGTGAGAGCAGCTGCATTAGTTCATTCAGTTGCGGTTAAACAAATTCCTTTCCGAAGCTCCATATAAGGAGCTTGGAGGCCTGGAGCTCTAAATAATCCATCGGAGCTTCCTGTTTGGAACGATGCTGTTGCTAATAATAATAATAATAATAATAATACTACGACCCAAATTATAGGACAATAACATTTATTTAGAGCATTAGGGATTCCACATTATACAAACCCTTAAATTTATTTTTTTTTCCCACTGGTCCATTTCTACAACAAATACATCAGATCTACTATATAATAAAATTATTTACATTTCCAAACAAGATTGGGTTTGTTTATAACCCTCTTACTGCTATTCACATACAGTACTTAAACAACAGCACAATACATTATTTTAATACCTAAAAATGACAACCCTGTATTCTAATTTGTTTATGAAAAGTGGAAACAAATAAATTTACAATTGTCTGCCCCTCCCCTCCCATTTCTTTAAAAACACATTAACCTAATGTGCTAACACTGGACTTCACTTTGTAAATCCAGAAGGTTTTTACAAGAACCTGGTTTTTAATAGCTATTTTTTCTTTTTTTAGAAAAAATCATTTATTGGGAACAGTACAATATTAAAATGACTTACTGTACAGAATTTTATTTAAAAAAAAAAAAAGAAAAATCACAGCTCAAAATTGCTATCGGTAAATTCACACTCATTTACAAGTTTCATGTTTCCATGCAGTAATTTACTTGGATTTTCTTCGTTTTGACTGCATTGCACTGGCACTCGTTTCTGAAATTGAGAGAAGAGAGAGAGCATGGGTGCCCCGTGGCAGCGGCGCCCGCGCTCGTGCGCCGCGGCACGGGCAGCGACCGCGCCGCGCCGAGCGGCACCGAGCGGCCCCGCGGCCTCGAGCGGCGGCAGCAGCACAACAAAACTCCCACTAGCTTCTCCTCCAAACACAGGGCACAATTTCAGTGTTGTGAGGTGAGCGTTTCTGAAATCCCACTATCAAAGGCCTTAGAAACCAAAGTCAGATTTTTTTTTTTCGTTTTTTAACCATACTTTAGTTGCCCACATGCCACCACTCGCTCGGCTGTAACACAGACAGACGCCTCCAAGAAACACCAGGAACAGCTTTGGAAACAGCTACATAAACTGGATCCAAGCGCAGCACTCGGAGAGGATGTTAGAGGAAACCTTAGAAAGATATTCTGGAGCCTGCCGCACAAGAGGAGAGTCCTCAGAAAGTCGGGTCATTTGGAAAACAAGTCTCTTCAGTGGCCATTATGATTCACAGAAAAACAGCCTATGCAGGAGGATCCATCCTATTCCAGCAGTGCAGCACAACCAGAAGCACTTACAGAAGCTCCAGGGAGAGCAGATGACATTTCCAGTGCACTTACCAAGGCACTAAGTCTCCATTTCAGAGCAAAAAGAAAGGGAAACGAGCAAGGACTAAGCACATTTGCATCCTTTTTACAGAACACGGTTTTATGCTCTGGCAATGCATCTTTGGCTCTTTACAGTATTTGCTGAAAGCTGATAGAGCTGCGTGTTCTAGAATCCCAAAGAAAAAGGAACATTTTTGCAATAACACTTTTAGAACTAGGAAAGCAATGGTACAGCTCTATGCCTATTAAATGCTATATTAAAAACACTTCAAAATTTAACAAATCCAAAGCTACAGTAAATACTGCAACAGCCCTTGTTGGAAAGGTAAAGTGAAAACACTTGGAGTGTTTTCACTTGAGCGAAAACACCAAGAGAGCACCGGTTTGCAGAAGTAAAACACCTCGACAGAGAGGACGCAGCAGTCGGAGGAGTCCACCTTTCCCTGCGGGACACGTGGGTCGCCGGCAGCGCTGGCTGCACCGTTCGCGCACGCTCAGCATCCCAGCAAGCTGTGGCAGCCCCTCGGCTCCGGAGCCCCGGGACCCTCCCGAGCGTCATCCTGCCCCTGCTCCCACTCCAGACCCGCAAACGGGGGAGCGGGGCTGGCTCCCGTTCCATGCTCTTCCCTCTCCCGTGATCCCAGCTGCCGGGCAGGGAGGGCCGAGGCGCCCACCCTTGGCGCCCTGCCGTACCCCGGCTCCTCAGGGCGCCGCTCCTGCTGCTGGCCTCTGCCAGCCTCTGTTTCAGACAGGCTCTTCCTCCAACCTGCATTCTCAAACATCACCTAATGACTGTCCAGGGACACAGCCAACGTACCTGCACATGCACCCGAGACACCTCGGCGAAGGCCAGCAGCAGACAACCACATTTGCTCTCCTAAGCTTTCATAACCAATGCAAAGCAGCATAGGCACGAGTGGCAAACCCTTTACACGTCCTCGCACAAGCTCTCGCAGAGCGGAGTCCTGTTTTGATCCTTTCTCTATGGCTTTGAAGTAGGCAGTTGTTTACAAGGAGAGGAGAAAAATCAAAGCCCAGGTACTACCTGGTAAGCCCTGGTACGCAGGATTGTTTTCAAGCCAGACCCTTGGAAACTGTGGCAGTTTCGGACACAACTTAAAAGCAACGATTTTACTTACAGAGGTAAATGGATGATAGTCGGTACAAAAAAAAAAAGTCTAAATTAATCCTGCTATTATTTAACGTATTTCAATGTTCCCACATGTTCAGGTTTTGACATGCCACTGGTTGTCATCTTTAGGTTTACTCATTACAACACATGGGGCTGGTCCCGCTTTTCAGACCCACTGCTCCGGGCTGCCTCAAGCTTGAGATGCTGTTACTGGACCAATTTTACATTTTGTTCACATTTTCAAAATTTTCTTCACAACCATGAAAGATAAATTATTTTTTACAATACAGGGTTAGATTATTTTGCACGATCCTGCCACAAAGAGCAAATTTAATTAAATTCAGCAGCCACTAAACTGCAGAACACATCAGCCCCTTTGGGGACACAATCAGGTGTCACTGGAAGTCTTCTCTGAAACTCTTCAAGTGCAAATATTCTTACCACCAAACTTTAGCATCTTCAGTATCGAATATGGTTGCTGAATTCAACTCAACTTTTTAGAATAACATTAATACCTCATTGCTCTGTATGATGTCGCTACATTTTGGTCAAATGTTTCCTCTTGACGGTCTCTCTACCCTCTCACACCGCTTTTTGTCCATCAGAACTTCTCTGACCCTGAGGCACTGGGAGCTCCCACAGCTTCAGAAACGCGAAATGGCCCTGAGGACCCTGCAGCGCGGCCGCGAGCGCGCGCCCGGCACAGCGCTGCCTTTGCCACGGGCTGTCGCCCGCAGAGGAATAAGGCACATCAGCAACTGCCCATGCCGCGGGCTCCGAACCGGAGCTTCAGGGTTTTGTACGTTCCTGGAAAGAAGGGCTGAGGACGTGTGTGCTGACAGCCTGCGCTCGCCGGGCGTCACCCGCGCGGCCTTGCCAAGCGCGCCGCGCGGGAGCGCCCGCTCTGCAGACACTGACCGTGCGCCAAGCAGGGCTCCCCCATTTCTCTCATGTCTTTCCAGTTTCAGGAAAAGAAACTATCACTGTTGGCTTCGGGACAGACCTTTTAACGTCCACACATTTCTGCCAAGAGCATTTTGCTTCAGCTAGGCAAGATGTCCAAATGCTGCGTTAATTAGTACTGCAGAAAAATCCCCTAAGTTTAACTATGGAAAATGCATACAACAAAATTCACTGCCAATAGAGATCAAGGTAGATTTTAACACCAACCTGTGTCTAACTCATTGAAAGGAGGGTTAAAAGCACACGCTACTGATAAGCATAGCTACGAGGCGGCTGTGGAGAGGGCTGTACCCGGGGAAGGGCTTCACTTCCCGCCCTCTCCACAGAAAGGGTGGCTGTGCGTGTTACCTTTTGCCGTGCTGGATGCGGATGCTGGTCGGGAGGACCTCTTGCGCTGTCCGTTCTCTACAGTTTCTTGTGAAGCTGCAGAATCCTCTGTCCTTGAATTTCTTCTACTTGGAGTTTTAGACTTTTCACAATTCTCTTTTGTCTCATTACTAATAAAGTGGGACAAAATATTTCTGATGAAGTGTAAGAAGAATTACGTTTTCCTATGCAACTCAGACAAGCTGGAGGATGGACCGACACAGGTACCAGTTCCGGACTATTAGCACTGAAGATATGAAATGCTAGAGATACTGGAAGTTTTACCAGATGAAGAATGACCTGAGTAAGCCAGAGAATAGTCCATTTCTAGTAAAAATTATCAGAGGATACAGAATTGAGAAGTCCTCAAAGAGAATATTTTCAACATTAGAAGACCAAGAAATTAGATGCATTATAAATTGTCAGCTCTGTTTTCCACAGGTGCCACCATTACTGAAGTCTAGGAAAAGCAAATAAGGTACATTAGAAACTGCTATGAAATGGGAATACGGCGTTGAATTTGCAGATGAACATAAGGAGGAATTATGCACTCTCAGGTGAGCATGCCATCTCTGCTCCTACTGGAAAGGCTCACTTCTCTGAGGTACGTGACTTCTTAGCATATTAAAAAGCTTAAGGTCGATTTAAAATGGTCTTTAAAGTATACTTCCATCATAAAAAATAATTTTAGGTAGTGTAGAAATCCACGCTCCTCGTTACTGAGGCAATATATGAAGTGTGACATTTATAATGAGTTCCTCCTGTATTTTATTACTATCAGTTTTGTAAAATCACCCTGAGACTGAGGTGTCTTCTCCTTAATGCATTAACACCAGATGATTTCTGCTGATAAACAGTTCCTGAAGATTAAGCTGACCTTACCCCCTGTGAGTTCAAGGTAACTGATGAACCAAATAAAAAGGAGAAAGAAAACTCATGCCATGCCCTGTGTCATGGGCAATCACTGGCAAGACTGAAAGGAAGACAGTCTTAATTAGAGAACTGATCGAAAACGCCAAAACAGAGCTGTGAACTACAGGGGCCCTATTACTGGATCATGTTTTCGGAAGTCCTACTTTAAGAGGAAAGAAACCACTATATAAGCCTGTAAGTTTAAATACCAGCTATCTGAAATAAAACAGTTGGTCAGCGTAAGGAAGGTGAGTACAAAAAAAGAGAGGGCCAGCAAGGAACCAAGGAGGAAATGAATAGAGGGAAGCACTCCGATTGTCCGAGGTTCAGGTAAAAAGCAGCTAAATGATTAGTCCATAAAAGCGGATTGTTTCATAGGAACTAACACAACACTTCTCTCCTTTTGTAGGAAGGAATTCAAGTTGGCCTAAATGAAAACAGTACTGTGCACATTGCGGAGCTCCTCTAAGGTTTGTAAATTGTATTATATATACATTTAACTCTAGAAGCTCAAAGCATCTGCTGAGTATTTCCTAAATCTCAGACGGCATCAGATTTGTAATTTGCCTGAAAGTTTTCCTCCTTTTCCAGTGGTGACCAGAAATCACCAAATATCAGCTCAGAAAAAAAACCCAAACTGAAGGCACTTGGGCTAATTTGATGTGTTCAATGAGTTTGCAAAATGTATGCGAGGTAACAATTTGGAAAAATCTTCTCATCTGCCAAGTGGCTCGCCTTAAGCTTTTTAGAAAACAAGAAAAATCCACCCTTCCTCTGAGGAGAAAAAGAAAAAAGGAAAAAAAAAAGAGAGTAATGGGAAAGTTCAGCTTATCTCTGATAACATTAACGAAGGAAAAGTGCTCGTGACAGACCCCATCAAACAGAAACAACAACTGGAAGAACTCGGCCCAGCTAAAGTTAAATATTTTTAAGTAGTCAGTTCAGAGTCATTCCCAATCTAAGACAGTAACCACTAAATTCCCTTAAAAAAACCCAAACCACTGCCTTAGTTCCCAATGAACTGATGGAGTCAATGACATTATGTGTCCTGGTGATGGAATTATTGCACTCTGATTAGGAAAGCATCAAAACCAGGGCCAGCTGGGCTAGTACCACTATCAGAAATCCTGAACAGGCCTCACAGCTGCCTGAAGAGCTTCACTGTTTTTAGGATACAACAGAAGCAGATTTTGGAAATTATTTTCTTTTGGACAGGACATAACCATTTGATATTTCTTAGATTTTTGCATGTCTTCACGAGGACAAGACCAAGTTTCTGGAAGGCTTTCCTATTAAGTTTTACAACAGAGCAAACAAGCAAGCATGGAGGAGGCCTGGTGAAAACAGAAAGCAGGGCAGGTAACACCGTGAGAGCAACAACCTTTAGAAAGACCTAGTTCCAGAAAGCAAAAATTCACAAGACAGCAAATCTGTGGCATTTGAGGGGTTTGTATTTTTGGTTTGGCATTTCAGAAAATGCCTAATGCTGGAACCATCAAGACTCTTCCGGAATGTGCAACGCTTGGGCCTAAAGGGATATGAGGAAATACTGCCCAAAGCAAGATGACAGATTAAGAACAAAGTTACCTTAAATTCTGCATTTCAGCAATATTTTGAAACAATCGAGGAACCCAATTCCGTAGCAGGAAGGAAAGCAAACAAAAAGAAGGGGCAAAAGGGTCTTTTGCAAGTTGTGCAAACGGAATAGAGCGAGAAGGACTTCCTCCCACGAACATCCTATCTATTCTGAATCTTTACAATCTCCTTACCTTTGACCAGCAACTCCTGGAGCATTTGTTTCAAGTTCTACAAGAGAAAAAGATAATTTGTAAGTCTGCTGTGGAAGTACATACACGCTGGCATGACCATCTCACACAATTCTTGCTCTACACTAGGTCTGAAGAATAAACTCCTCATCTGTTACTACTTGCAGAGTGACTGAGCTGAAGTTAGGAAAGGACCCATCGCCTTCAGCGCCGGGTTCTCGCACACTATGGCCTGCACCCGCCGAGATGGAAAAGGGTTGGCAAAAAAACCCCTGCAGAAGAAAACTAGAGAGGAGCTGGCTGGTAAGGGCTCTGCCCACTCCCTTAATCCCTAATTTGGTCAATTCGCTCCCTACAAGATTCCAGGTTTTGTTAGCTTTAAATATTAAGCAATACACCCAGACTAGAAGTTTTAGGTGAAATTCTGCTTAGACGTTTAATCCAATGGTCTCCCACAGCAACACCTTCCAAGGAATCTGCATGAAGGGGGAGATGGAGGCTCTTGCTTGAAGCCCAGCTGTACCTGGCTGAACTGGACAATTTCTCAGGAGGTTACGTGGACGGCGGTCTGTGATCTACCTTCTTCCTCCTCTTTAGCTCCCTCCCACCTCTCCTTTGGTTAGGTACACACCAGGTTTCTTTTTGAATCTTTGCCATACAAAACAACTTCATTTTCTATCATACAGGATAACGTGGTTTTTTTTTGTTGTTTTTTTTTTTTTAAATCAGTCCTTCTGCTCTCACCATATGCTCTGTGAGATGGGAGCACCTACACCTAAACACAACGTCCCCTCTGACAAACTGCTACCGAGTTAGGGCTTATCGTGATATATAATCGATCTGTTCTGTAATCCTCCTTATTTAATAAATATCTTGTGACCTTTGAACAGTGATGCAAAAAACATTTTAAGACAAAGCCCTTAGTATTTTTTTCTATAATGTGTGCCATGAACAAAGTTGTAAAAAGAGTAAAAAGTCCCCTTACAGACCAGTCCTTTGAAGGCCAATCTCTTAGATTTATATTCATGGAATATCAGGTGCTTTACTGCAAGTGTAAGTATCTCTAACTGGAAGAAACAGGATTCATTTTCAGTAACAAAAAGACTGAGAAACATACAACAATTTTTTCCCCTTACCAAAATTTGATCAACCCAAAGAATATCCAACCTGCTGCAAATTGAACCTTAAAACTCAAACACAGAATATCAAAAAAGAGTTCTTTTTTTTTGGATTTTGAACAATTTTCAAGTTCATGGACAAATATTTAAACACTACCTTGGTAATTTTTTCTTTTACATTATTGATTTCTGCACTAAATCTCCAACTAGGTTCAGGAAACTTTAACACACTCTGTACCTAACAAGAAAAATACCATCCCCACAAAAAGACAGAAAAAACAAACCACAAACTACCAAGCATTTTAATGATCATTAAAAGCATTTAACAATCATTAAGCAATGCACTACCAGGTACAAACACAGCGAGTTAAGTTCACCTACATTCGGCTTTTCCAAAGTATGATTTACCTGTTCTTTGAACAGTACTTTCTGCTGTTGTAACTGAACTTTTTTTCTGGGCTAAATGTTGAGCGGAGGCTAGAACAAAAGCAGAGGAAAAAGCATTATTTGCAAGGGGAGTCGCAAGAAAGTGTTGTTGACTGATTGGACTGTTTCTACAAAATGGTGCATCTTAACATTTATACATTTTGCATTCATATTTTCAACCCACCCTCTGCTCTCCCCCCACCAACTTCTCCAAGTAAATTATATATACAGTCTTTTGCATCTCCACCCCAAGTATGTTTTCCCAATCAAGAATAAGGGATGTCATTAAATACCCTAAAAAAGATTTCTAAAGGCGTCAGCTTATCATTAAACCTAGCAATTAAAGGCCTAGAAACTAAGGGGTTTAGCAACTCTATCAGCTTAACACTCATTTCAACAGAAGCTTTGAGGGAAAACAGCATCTTTGCTAACGGATCAATACCCTGAGCCTTTCAATTAAGTTGCATGAGTGCAAAATACGCTCCAGAGCCTTCCAGGAAGTCCCTTGGCAATAAGATGCCATGACTTAACATTTCTCAGATTGCCAAGTTAAAATTAAGCTGGAAATAACAGTTCTTGTTAGACAGTCTTCCTTCACATGTGGTCACGACCGTTGGAAGCACACAAACAAGGAAGAGAAGTGAGACGTTCTTGTTTAGGTCAAGAACATCCACTTGGACAACTGTGGCGACGTTTCTAACGCTTTCCTCTTTCAGGAGCTGATTGTAACTCCAGAATCCAAGGAGAAAGTACAAACTGTTGATTCGCAACCAGAATTTTCCATCGTGGAAAGAAAAGCTCGCTGCAGAGGTGAGAAGAGGCGGCCGCGCCGGGCGCCGCGCCGGCTCACGCTGCTTGCCTGTGCCCTGCCCCGCGTGCCCGCTGCTCCGGGCGCGTTCACCCGTGCGGCAGCAGCTGCTCTGCCACCTCTTAGCACTGTTGGCTCTTCAAGCCTTGCAGCCTGATGTCAGGTTGCGCCTCTCAACAGCTTTTTATTCCTATAAAACACAATTGCCTCCGTGAAGCTCAAGTATTTCCATTTTCCAATGACAAACTGCTCAGGGATACATCTAGAGCCACAGTGAGAAATCACGCTGAAGTTCTCAATGCCGCGGACACTTGCGGGCGATGATTTAAAACGCGCACGTGTAAGCTCCAGATATGGAGCCCAAGGGATACTGTGGTAGTTTGCTCAGTACTCCTGGCTTATTCCCATACCATTTTCAGGAGATCACCAAACTGCACAAAGAAGTGGCAGAGATGGCACAAATAAAGTCTGTCCAGATTTTTCAGTCAAAACAGTAAAGGAGAAAAGTCAGAGATGAAATTATTTTATGCAATCAGATGCAACATACTCATAGTTGCATTTTCAGGTGTTTCTCTGAAATGAGCAGTTGATTTTTTCCCCAGACCGAAGGGGTTTGGTTTTCTCTCTTGCTGCAGGCTAGCAACACGTTGGCCACTTCCCTGAAGGGCCAACATTACTGGAAGATGGAACCTCGTGGTGTGACTCACTCACCATATCTTAATGAAGTCGATATATTTCAGTAAGTTACAAACAAAAACAACCTGAAAACACTCGCTGCAAGACTGAAGCAGGAAAAAAAAATACACTTGTCAGCTTAGAAGGAGCCCCAAGCATTGCTTTTGTTGCTGTTCATATAACCAGATTTTCTCCTTAGTTTTAACAGTTCTGTAAAGCTGCTGCAAGCTGCTGCAAGCTACTGCATTTATGTTCACATCAAATATCTCATATTTAAGTAGTATATGAAAAACAAGATAAAAAATGTGAATTTTAGTGAAATTCAAGACCTTTTATCACTCAGATACCAGAAATAAAACCAAATAGCAGACGTTAGTTCTAAGCATCCATGTTCTATTATGCTTATGGGGAAAAAACCAAAGCACATTAGAAGTTGAAGCAAGCAATCTCACTCCTTCCATATAAGCAGGGGAGCAGTGGACATACCTGTATTTTGGAGCAGTTCCTGATGGGCTCCTGGTTTGTCCTCCGCCAAACCCATCCCAGCCTGCTCAGCTGGCAAACTGCCATGGTTATTCCCATTGGTACTTGCTGCTGCAGGTGCCGTTTCTGGGACTCCTGGAGTGGTCGCAACCGAGAGCACGTTTGCAGGAGGAGTGTTTGCTGCTAAGCCTGGAGAGCCCGCGGCAGGAACGGCGGCAGCAGAGCTAACACTCACGTTGCCAGGCCCAGAAGTGCTCTGTTTTGTAAGACTGGGTGCTGGAGGTGTCACAGTTTTATTGTCTGGTTCTGCTGGTGATTGCTCCACTCCCAAACTACTTGGGACTGACATTTCGAGTCCCTGCCCTTCTGCCTCTCCATCCAAAGCATACTGTTCTTCTCCTTTCTCAAGGGAGCCCGTGACTTTTTTGCATGCTTTAGTCAGTAAGAGCTGGCCAATCTTGTCTACTTTTCCCTTTCCTTTACTCGATGAGACAGGACTTCGTCTGTTCCCGGATCCTGGACTGCTTGTGAGGATAGGTGAAACACCAGGTCCAGACTGTGTCGCTGTAACAGAACCCTGGTCACTTGTCCCACCGCTTTGAGAAGAAGCCTCCTCTGGGCTAAAGTCTTTGACCTGTTGAGCTGGGAGGTGGGAAGGAACGTTTGAAGAAGTTGTAGCAGGAGAAGGCAGCTGGACGGGAGGCACCATTGGATTAAGAACCAGCGGCCTGCTCGTGGGGATGGTAGAAACAGGACTGCTAGACGATGTGCTAGGAGGAGCAGGCCCAGGCGAGAACTTTATGTTCTGTGGTATATGCAAAGGACCAACAACTGCCACAGACTGAGGCATCAGACTGGAGTTAGAAGTCATTGGGGCTGCTGGAATTGTGCTTGGCTGAGAGCCCTTCATAACCTGAATTATTGATGATGAGTTTATAAAAACAGGCGTAATAAACTGTGTCCGGGCGTTAGACTGAACTGCTGATGACTGTCCCTCAGAAACCATAACTTTGGTTCCTACGTTGGGCATTGTGACAACCGTAGATACCAATGTGGGTTGCAAGTGAGATGGCAGCGGTGTGGATGTATTAGCAGAAGATGTAATAGGGTTTGAAGTTACAAAAACTGTTATTTGGTTGGGTGGTAAAGAAGCAGAAATCGAAGATGAGCCGACAGGCCGCTGCACGACTGGAGGAACGTTCTGTGTAACATTTGAGTTTAGCTCTCCCAACTCCTGGTGCCCGGGATTTGAACTAGACTCATTACTCTGAGGCAAACTGAGTGAACTAGAAGGCTCTTTGCCGGAGGAGGAGTCTTGCAGCGGGGGAATGACAGCTATCTTCTTGAGCTCCTCCCCAGGAGGAGCTACTGGTGCCACTTCAAGACTCGTCAGCCCAGGGGGCTTAATGGTTACATTAGGAGCTCCAGAATTATCAAGAAGTTGACTTAAAGAAGTTGGGGCCTCTCTCATAGCTGGAGATACCAGGGGTTTGCTTTCCTCCAAGGCTGGAAGCTTACCAGGGTCCAAGGACTGTCCATCTTTTTTTGACTGCTCTTCTGGAACCAACATTTTTATCTCTGGGGTAGGGATGCCTTTCAGTTCAATACTGGGCGGGTCCTTGTTTCCTGGGGCCCCCTGTGCAGTTTGACACTCGTTGTCTTGAGGAACATTAAGGCTCTCTTTACTGTCCTCAGAAATGCCAGTCGTAACAGGAACAGAAATTGCAGGACTCTGATTAGCTGGCATGTTGTTATTTTGAAAACTTGTAGTCACAGGAGTGGGCAAAGAAGAGGGGCCAACCATCATATTTCTTTGTAATTCCATGTTCTGCAAGAGAGGTGGATTCTGCTGAGTTGTCAAGGTTAGCTTTGCTGCTTTTGAGTTCTGTCTGCCAGGGCTCGGTGTAGTTTTCCTGCTGGAGCCAGGACTGGACCTTCGGCTATTGCTTGGACTTGCTCTCTTGGTTCCGCCGGCGTTGGTTTGCTTTCCCGAATTAAGAACCACGCTTTCCAATTTGTGTGCTTGTGGAGAAGCAAAACTAGGCTGATTATTAACTGTGAGATTTGATGGGGCTTGCCCAATGGCTTTCAAAGTAGTCGGATTAAGACCCTGCTGATCAAATCCTCGATTGAGATTAGGCCTGGGAGGTAAAGGAATATTAATCTGGGGAGGAAAAAGACCCGCTATAGAAGCATTGAGTCTTTCTGGAGACAAGCTTATTTCTGAAGGCTCTGTGCTAGGTGGACGGTTATTAGGAGTCTGAGGATAGTATGGCCTTGGACTTGCTCTGTTTGGGGTTTTGGGCCTTGAAGTTTGTGATGGGGTGGCAACATTTGGAAAATGGTGTGTCAGAGTGCCTGGCAGTGAATTAGATTGCTGCTGAGGACTCGCACCTTGGCCAGCTGAAAGTGGGGATGGTCCCGGTTTGGGTCCAGTCATCATTAATTGGTTTTGTGAAACTACTAAATGAGATGTCAAGTTATTCTGGGCGCCTGATGCTGGTGGGCCTTCAGCTCCACCTCCTTCTGGAAGGGTGGATACTGATGAGACCTCTCCCAGAGGTGAGCTGGAAGGATTCTGTACATTATCTTGATAAACCACTTTTCTTGCATTATTGCCCAGAGAAGGATTGCCTGGCAAGGAAATCCTCTGCTTATCAGGAGATGGAGGCACCGACCCAGGACCTTGCAAGTTAACCATTACTGACATGTTAGCGCTCTGCTGCATGGGCATTCGTTGAACGTCTGGATTTAGAGGCCCCCTGGGTGGGTGCACTCCCTGGGGGATGGGAAGCCGGACCGACTTGGGGTCCTGCTGCATCATAAGCATCATCATCATCTGCTGCTGCTGCTGCGGCGTCTGTGGTGCTGCCTGTGCCTGCTGTGGTGCTGGCTGCGGCGGCTGCTGCTGTTGCTGCTGCTGGGGCTGCTGCGTATGTGGCATAAGCTGAGGCGGCATCTGCTGCAGCTGCCTTTGTTCCACTGGCTGAGAAGGATAGCCTGAAAGAGAGGACGATACATTCAGCCCACAAATAAGTAAATAAACACACACACACACACACAAAAGCAGAATTTCTGCAAGAAATTATCACGCTCGGACAGCGTGCAGCCAGGAACCAGCTCATGTAACGCATGAGCCACTTCAGTGAAAGAGGTTTTTATGAACAAGGACAAGGACTTTACTTAATTCTTAATAATATTTTCATTTAATGTATGAATGGCTTGCAAGGCATTTAATTGATGAGCTCTAATTTATCCAGTCAGCTACTGGCTATTAGCTTGAATTTATGCCACCTGATAAAAGGCTCGGCAACTTTTTACAGGCTTGGGTTTTTACTCATAAGTGCACTTTTGAACTTTTGTTGATTAATTATCCCCAAAACAAACTTAAAATTTTGAAATTTTAAAATAACCGTGGGACAGGCAGGAACGAGTCTGTTACAGATCCATGCAAGGAAGAATCTCCTGTTAGGAGGCTAAAAAGGAAAAGTAAAATGGTGGTAAGAACCACTCATGGATAAAACCCTGAAACATCTTTTGGGACTTTGGACTTAATCCTCTCTACATAAGAAGAATAATTGGGTCTTTTCCAACGGTAACTTCTATTTCTTAATTTTAAACAATAAACTACTGGCTAATGCTCAGAATTTCAAGGCTACAGCTAGAAATACAGGTATTTGCATCTGTTACGTAATCCATAAAAGCATCTACCATATTCAACATGATTACTAGTTAGGATATGGCCTACAAGAGATGTGGCCACACATCTCGCACATTAACTCATTTTGAGTTAATTCAAGGAATGCACTTAAGCAGTGGCACCAATTAGGAGGAATAGAAAGCTGTGGTTTGCAATGGTAAGAACACACACACAAGCACCGTTAAACGTCAGCAAAAGCTTTATCATTATTACATTCAAATAATCCACTTAAAAACCTTACTACCTGGTGGTCTACTTGCAAAATCTGGAATTTTGGGGCCTGTATTATCTAGATTAATTCCCTGGTCTCCAGACATTGAAGACTGATCATTCTCCTCCAAGCCAGCTGGACGTGGTTCTGAAGAACTGGAAGAAAAATAATTGCAATTAAGATACAACACTAACATGAAAGTTTCAATTTTGCTCCAAAATTCAGTACTCAAATACCCAAGTTTTTACCACTTGCCAGAGACCTCCAAGTCTGTCACTGTGACCAGAACAGGACAGGGACCCAGCTCGGCTCTGCCCACGGCCCCTCCTGTGCCTTAAGCGCTACTCAAAAAGAACCAGCTTGCCTGGTGACCTGCTCATTCTAAACACATTCTTCTTTGCCTCTACCTTAACTATAACGTATACACCAAAGACTACATATACATCTCTGTGTGTGTATATTTATATACATTATATATGAATGCATAAATATTTTTTAATCTAAATAGGCATCCCACTAATACCATCACGACATCTGTGAGGATGACGTGGTTGGTAGATGCACAGAACTGTACGTTTACGGCAGCTCCATGTCTTCGGGCAGAGCACCCAGAGCTCGAGAGCTCTCAGAATCAGTTCTGTACTAGAGTCCCTGCAAAACCGTGCGGGGATGCGAGACGCTGCAGGTTACCTGGCAGAGCGCAGAGGGAAGCGGCCTGCCGAGGCGCCGGGATTGGGGCTTCGGGAAGTCCTACGGGACCGTTCAGGCTCGTTCAGACTGAGCGGCCTGTACGTCCATTCCATCAGGACAAGCTCTCCACATTTTAATATTTTTATATAGCTATCAATATTGGTCGTTACCATACAGGATAATGTGAGATGAAGAAAGAAAAACCTTGGCTGTCACCAGTTACATGAATCTACTGATGCTGTTGGGAGGTCAATGTAATAAAAGCTCCAAAATAAAATTAAAGGGCCAAAATTGCACAGAAATACCGAGAGAAAATTTATCATAGCAAAAATTCTGAGTATATAAAGTTAGAGACATCTTTTTTTAATCGTGATCGAGGGCAAGAGCCAGCTCTGGCACCTGCACAGCTGATGCAGAGACGCGTGGGCCCGTTCAGGTCTCTCCAGACATCTGCACAGCGTTCACAAAGCCCTGGCCTGAAGGGCCTGCACCCCCGCAGCCCAGGGAAGGGCCGGGAACACGGACCAGGACACGGGAAGGGAAAGAGGCCCCCTCGGCAGAGGGTGAGCCCAGAACGACCGCGCGCGGCCCGAGGCCCTGCTAGGAGCTGTGCAACCTCGCAGCTAACGCAGCACCTCGGCAGGGCCACGGGCCTACTGCCCCCAACAAGGCTGGGGAATATTCATAAAATGTGTGCATTTACAGCTAAAAATGTCGCAGTTCAGTATTAGATAAAACTGCCATACAGCATGACTGCACAGATGGGTTTGAAGTAGAAAACAGTATATTGGTGCAAAACCAATTCTTAAAAAAAACAGTTCTTGCTATAAGGGGTCAAATAGGGAAAAGTGTAGCAGAGCCAAGATTTTTGTTTTCTAGCAAATAAGAATAGCAGTAATTGTTGGACCATCTGCTGTTATAATTGCTGGACAATTTAAACATATCTTGGATTTTGAATATCGCTGAAATTCACTGAGCATATTCATCAGCTAGCCAAAAACAAGACAAAAAAACTGAGAATCAAAGTGAGAAGTCTGTGTGTGACAGGGAGAAACAGTCCATATTGAGTGTTCTCTCATATTGCTCTTAATTTAAAGATAAACCAGCTGCATATTAGTTACAGCCCAGAACTACAGCTCAGTTTCATGCAGAAACCCCTTCATCCAGCAGCTGGATTGGGAGGCAATGCTTCCAGATGTACAATGCTCCTTCCTTCCTTCTTTCCAAAGGAAGCAACAGGACATGCCAAAACGAAGCAAGAGCACAGAGGGCAGCAGAGCCAGCCCTGCTGCCGGGGCGCAGCGCCCGGTGACGCCCCTCGAGAAAGGGGCTCATTCTCTCGCGCCACGTTTGGTCCACTTGCCACGAGAGCCTGCGGACCCGCGGGCAAAAGCTTCCTAATGCAGACAACAAGACCAAGCTCTATCGCTCCCTCGCGCTGTGGGGCTGCCCGGGGATCATCCCCGCGCAGGGCTGAGCGCGGCTGGGTCTGCTCCACCAGCCCGTACCGCGCTCGCAGGCTGTGCACAGGGAAGCCCCACACTAACCTCTGCCTGGGCATCTGCTCAGCAGGAGCAGCTTGTGCATATTTTATCTACAATCATGCTTCATTTAGTACTTCGTTTCCCTGTTTTACATTCAATTTCATAGAGTCGTCCTAATAGAGAAAATAGACATAATGACTTTTAACTAACTTATGCACTCAAAATGTCTTAGGTTTTAACTGAATGCTGTTTCTCAGTAAAGCAATCCCCTTTTAACCTTAACAAGCCTATTTTTCAGGCTCATCTGAAGGTGCTTTTCCAGTAGCACACTTACCAACTTTATATTCCAGGCTGGGCTCTGTCTACAGTCAGAACTATTCATGGTTTCCTGACCACTACGCTATTTCAGTGCAACAGCAATTTCTAATAAAAAAGTGGAAACATCTTAAACACGCTTATCAAATTCATTCGGTTTCCCATCAAGTTTTGCCGTGTCTTCTGAATCTAGAAATCCTGATTAAGCATGCCAGCAAAAGTGCTGAGATTAAAAGCTTCCCGTTTGGTTCTGCTGATCCAGGCCAGGTTTGGGCTGCTCCTTGGGCTGTGCTGCCAGTCGCGCGACCCGCGCTGCACAGCCCTGCCGCTGCGCCTTCCACCTCGGCAGGGCCCTTTGCCACAGGCCGCTCTTGCGGAGCGGCTGCGGTTGGGAATTCTCGGAGATCGGTGCTCTGGAGCCAACGAGGCGCTGGCAGAACTGGACCGATCCTCCTCGCAGGCGCCAAACGTTAGGAGAGCACTTTGCCTGCAAAGGCCTCTTGCACCTGGCGCTCGCGGAACGCCCAAGTGAAGCATATCCTGTAGGAGAGGACTGGTCAGTCAGACACATCAGGTGCTGCCTCTGCAGCAGGCCCCCTGCCCTCCTCCTGGCCCACAGGGCCCTGTTCCGGGGACCCATCACAGCTGTGCACATTAGGAGAGCTGCGTATGAAGGACCAGCAGAAGCTGCTGACCTACAGCGAGGTATCACAAGGGATGATGTCTCAGCTAGGGCTCCCAAGTCATCCCAAGCTTGTAGTCTACTCTTACTTTGGCCACCAAGCTCCTATGTGGTTTTAGTTGGCTTCCTTTAACTCGGGCTTTGCTGCTGATCGTTAATTGTGCATTCCACGGGGTCTGACTAGTTAATCTGAAGTTCATTTTGCAGCAGGGCTGAGCTGATGGATCACACTGGCCTATCCATACACTTACAGAGCAGGCATTTACGAAACTCTTTGTAAGGCCTCTGAAATGAGCACACTCTGCTTTGCTTTCCCTGGGCTGCCTTTCCTCACCTTTAAAATGCAGGCCACACAACCGGTGCGTTTTACACTAGCAGCGTGAAGTCAAGCCAATCAGTGGTGGTTAAAACCCTAAAGGATCATTTACTACAGACAATGTAAGGTCTTTTAGTTCAGAACTTAAGACGCCCATGAGAAAAATCAGTTCCACTTTCCTGTGTTGTGCAGGAAACGCAGGTTGGGGCTACGCACTAAATAACCACACTCTTTGCACTGGATCAGATACCGGTCTCTGTAAATGGTGGCATACAGTGAAAAATCAAAGATTTATAATAATTACTCAAAGGAGAGGACCTGGAGCCACAACAGCAGCTTAATATGCCTCCCTGCTCCCCCTCTTTTTTACTCTACAATTCGGGTACTCCTGTGTTAGAGCTCTCTGTGCAGAGAGGGTCGGTTTCAGCTGCGGCGGCGGCTCCATGGCACGGCGGCAGCGAGCGGCCGCGGCGCTCGCCGGTGACCGCGGTGCCGCCAGCCGAGCCGGGCACAGCTGCCCAAGGAAGCAGCCGTGCGCCGGACTTGCCCCGAACACACACCTCTTTTCCTCTCAGTATTAACCCACTTGCCCCTTCCCCTGAAGGGATTTTTTCTTCCAATCTCTCCCAGGTTTCATCTCCTTGGCTCCTTGAGTTTGGTATCTGCATAAGCAGAGGATATCAAGATTTTCCCCTCCCTTCAACTCCTATTCGCAAGTTCAACTAAAATAAAATAAAACAAAACAATTCCAGGCAGAAATATGTAAAACCATCTCCAATTTTGTACTGCACATATTTCACAGAGACTTGTAATTCCTCCGACAGTACTGCGCAGCATTTCTCTGTGGCTCAGGCTGCTTCCTCATTGCTGTGCTTGCACTGGTAGTTTGGAACAACTTCTATGCTTCCTTTACCCAGTAAATGCTGTTTTAAATAAAATTATGTAACAGAATAAGAATGTTCACAAGTTTTCCTTTATCCTAAAAGGACTTTCAAATGTCAGATTTGCCACTGGGTTATCATTTAAGATATCATCATTTAAGATATCATCATTTAAGATATCATCATTTAAGATATCATCATTTAAGATATCATCATTTAAGATATCATCATTTAAGATATCATCATTTAAGATCAAGAAAAAAATCCTGCTGGAATATGAAATTCCAGAGCTTCTTTCCCCGACCCCGCACGCTTGCTGAAAAAGTGACAGGCGCCTGTGGGGCCGTCCCGCCCCCGCCCCGTATAGAAACAATATAATATTAGTCCTACTTTGTTTGCTCTAACTGCTGGTTATTTTTCTTCTTCCTCGGAGGCTTCTTCTTCTTCGGCTTGTTGGCGTTCTGGTTATTCTGCTTGTTGTTCACGCCGAAGTGTCCTGCAGATATATCGCTCTGCAGCAGGTTGACCAAGAGCGGGCTTGTGAGCGTGACATCTTTATTGACAGGAAAAGCGGGATTCTGTCCGCAGGAGATCTGATTGCCGTTCGGGGTTCCGCTGAAGGGGGTGTTGAAGGGCAGCCCGTGTCCTGAGAAATGGCTCCCTGAGGCGCTGTTGTTTCCTTGCATTGCCTGCATGTGGGAAGGCACCATACTTGGCTGCTGCACAGGAACGTCGGGCAGCATCGGCGTCAGGTTCACATCGTTACTTGTTGTAGTTGTGGTGTCCCCAAGCTGCTGAGATAGGTGGGGGCCAGGTCCACTGGGTCTTAACACTTGCCCTTGAATTCCCATGACCTGGGAAGGATTCCCATTCACAGGGCCCTGCTGCGCCATCATCTGCCCGGTGAACTGCACCATGTTTCCTTGCATGTTTGGGGTTGGTCCTCTCATCAGTTGAGCTGGCCCCGTCATAACATTGGACTGGTTTTGCGTGCTAAAAGGCTGTTTATTTCCTGGCATCTGAGTGGTCATCATCTGTTCCATCATTGAGTTCTGCTGCAACAAGACCTGGCCTTGAGGTCCCATCATCTGATTGTGTGTAGACATCATCTGCTGTCCCTGCTGGGGAATCATCTGTTTGGGTGGGGTCATTCTTTGAGGTGAAGGACCAAGATTTTGGTTTTGTGGCGTTACCATCATTTGGCCTTGCGGCATGAGTTGAGTTCGAGAAAGTATCATCTGGTTTTGAGGGTTCAGTGATCCCTGAGCCTGGATGTTCACCATCTGTCCTTGAGAGGACACAATTTGCTGATGCATTCCCATAAGCTGAGACTGTGGTCCTTGCTGAGGCTGTCCCTGCATATTGCCCATGTTCACTTGTGGCACCCCACTAGCACCAGCTTGCTGGTTGTTCATATTTCCATGAAGTCCCATTAGATTGGTCTGCATCATATTTGGTGGGCCATGTGGTGCCTGCATCTGATTTTGAGGAGGTCCAGACCCTTGACCACCTTAAAAAAGATGACAAGATACAAATTAACTGGAGCTTGACATTGAGCAAATACCCCAAATTTATTTTCTTTACTTTACCAGTGATCTGGGACATCTGACACCTTCACACTCCCATACTGCATATTTCATGCTCCAGGTAAATTTTCGTGGTCAAAACAGAGCATGAGAATGGCAATGCCAAAAATAAATATTTTGGCCGTCACTCACAGATGTACCTCACTGCAGAAGACCTCACAGAACTTGACCATAATCTATACATTTTAAAATATTTCCAAAACAGAGCATTGCACCTGTATTACTCCTAAACCCCAAATTCCAATGTCATGTGTATTCAATTTCTGAGCACATCCTTCTGCATCCTGGTATCACTGTGCCGAGCAATATCAACGCTGGGTTCTCCAGAAAACACGATTGGTCCTCTGCTTTTCTTTTCCTCATTAAATGATACCCAAAGCGTACCTCGGCAGCACCACAAGTTGCCAAAGCTGCCTCTTGCTGGAAAAAAGGGGACACTCTGGTTCTTGTGTTACACAAATGCAAGCAGGGCCCTGTACACCCGCGGAATAAGGGATTCCCCACAGACCTGCGTGCTGCACGTTCTGGCTGCTTGGCAGCTGCGGGGCTCCGCTGCTCCCCGGCGTTCCCGGCGCCGTGGAAGGCGCCTGGCTTTGCAGGAAGTTCTGGTTAGTCTGGGCTGCGGGGAAGCCCGGCGGCAGGCGCTTGGGCATTCCTGAACACAAGATTTAGTTTGCATTAGCATGGGAAAAGGCCGGCGGGGAAGGAAAAAAATAAATAAATAAAAATGGTGCATTAAAAGAGGAATAATGCATTTTAGCTGCACTGTCACCTTAGCAAAGCAGGTCATAGGCAGAAACAAGGTTTTTCCCCAGTATATAAACATAAATTGAGACAGAATTTCTTGTTCCTACTTAGGCAGTAAGTGTGGCTAAGGAGCTACCATCACCAGTTCACGTGATTCTTCTGCCTGCTGCCTGAACACGCAGCCCGCGTTCGGGACGAGCCCCGCGCACACGGGCAGATGCCTCCATTCAACTTTCCTCAAGCAGCTGGAAATTAGAGCCAATTTGCTGCCTCCTCGTTCTCCAGCCCATCTCGCCCCTAGGCAGAGCCGCGTGCTGCTTGTGTGCTCAGACACAAGAGGTGGGGGACTCCCAGGAAGGACCATGCCCTCAAGGCACCGGCCACAGCCGTGCTGCTTTGCTCTGCCTTGCTGTGTGCACACACATAAAATCACTTCTCAAAGCCCAGTAAGAGGTAACATCACCACTTCCTTCCATCTCTATTCATTGACATGAATAGAAGTGTGTTTAACTATGCTAATTCTTAGGTTTTCACTATCCATGGAACGAATTTAAGGATTTTTTTCACATCATGAAAGAAGAATAGCACCCAATGCACAAATTTAGAGCCTCCTTGCTAAGAGATTTACTCTCAGGGAAGCTTGATTCCATGTATTCTTTCTGGCATGGGAATCAGTGAGTTTATTATTCAGAGATGGATTATGAGTACATAACCTTCAGCATGGTGTTTTCCTACCAAAGAGCCACGAATGGCTCTTGCTCATCAGAAACTTATTCCATTAACCCTGCTATTCCTATCCCAAGAGCCAAAGCTTCCCTGTGCTTCTGCCCACCAACGTGGGAAGCAGCATAACTGCTTTAACAGACTCCACTTCTTTGACCCACCGCCAAGCTCCACCGGTAGCGTCACACACCTAGAAGCTGTTTTGCCTGCCTGTATTTTTCTGACCTATTTAACAGCGCCACAAGTTGACCTTAGTTTCTTCCAGAGCTACAGCTTTCTTGCACAATTAACTGTATTGCTTCTGTTAATTAATGAGGTTTTAGGTCTATAATTAGTATTTCAAGACAAACAAGTTTAGAGCATTCACCTGCAAATACGGAGCAAATACTTTTTCAAACAGCATGTCACAGGTCTGTAGCTCTGCTTTTGCTAAAGTATTAGGGAAAGTCCTGCACGTAGGAATACTTGTCCTGAGAGAAGTATCAACTTCTTATTGATACTCTTCCAAGTTTAACACAAATTTCCATTTGCTAAATTGCTTGGTGAAATGGGAAGCAAACATACCCTTTTATACCAAACCTCTGAAATGCAGGATGGCTTAAAAACCAAAAGATCCCAAATTACAACTTAATTAAGGTAGCAAACGAAGCAGGAATTGCGCATGGACAAAAAAAGTCAGACAAAAATCCCAGCAGGTGAAAGGCAAGACAGCTTCGTTAAAAGTGAACTGTGTCTTTGTAAAGCAGTTCAGAATACAGGTCACAGAAGGATTACAGATTTTACCAGCAAGGTCTACCAAATTACCTTTTTTGGTAGCTTGTAATGCACCCCTTACTGTGTGTTATTTTTAACTGCTTTAAAAAGTCATAACTTCAGAGATAATGGAAGTAGTATTTTGTTTGTAGTAGGTTTACATCAAAAGAATTTACAAGGAGCAAGCGAAAGGTGTGTTTAGGACATCTAGAGAAAAACGACTACTGAGCACGGTCACGAAGGCGGTGAGGGAAAACGGGAAGGAAACATGACAAAGAAGAGATTACTCCTTGGAAATGGAGTCACGAGAAGAGGCTGAACTCAGGAACAGTCAGGACCAAGAGACTCCTGAGCTGGGCACATTCAGCTGGGCAAGGGAGATGACAAGGACACGTGTCACAGTTACAGGGAGAGAACAGGGAAACGAGAACTCACGGCACTGTGTGCACACGTGGAGAAAAAGCACCAGGGCTCGTGGTTTAGGAGTAGACAAGGAAAGGGGCTGGAAAATAAAGATTTTAAAGGATTAAGCAAGAGCCTGAACACGGGACTCAGAGCAGCCACTGAAGAGAAAGATAAAGTAATTAATAGGGAAGAGGTCCACAAACCTTGCACAGAACTAGTTAAGACCTCAAGTAAAGAAGACAAAGACACAAGAAGAGACCTTGGGATTGACAAATGAAGTCACTTCATTGCTAGGGAAGCCTTTGGGGGAGCAGTGAGGCAAAGATGGGAATGCAGAGGTCCAAGGAGAAAACTAAAAGATGACAACTGAAGGGGTAAATTAAAACATCCCTTCATCACTTCCCATTACAGCAGAGCATACAATAGCATGGCAGTAATAGCCCTTTCCTCTTTCATATGGGAAGAAAGTGATGACAAGATGAGACATCCACAAATGGAGAGGGAGGACACAAAATTACACCTCACTTCTGTAGCAGAAACGTGATGAATCTAAGTGGTGGCAGAGGAATTTGAAGAGACAGGGAAAAGTATTTGTGTGTTCTTACTTCTCCAACTCGTAAGACAAAACAACAACAACAATACAATAAAGCAAAACACCCATCCCAGAACATCCCAAACTGAAAGGCAGTTGGAAAAGAGTCAAGAGGATGACTGGGATTCAGGCAGGAACTACATACAGCAAGGTCTGCAGTCGCCGAGGCTTCCCTTATGGGTAATAAGCAGAGCTGACCTAGCTAGAAGAACTGAAGCAATAGTGGTATTAATTTCCCGTACCTACCTCATACACAGACAGACTTCATATTTATTCTGGTTTTGAAGGATCTTTTCAAAAGCAACAGTAAAAGGAGCTCTACCTTCTTTTTTTCTTCCCCCTTTTAAACAACAGAAGATCTCAGTACTTCTTACCTCCTAAGCCAGGGTGTAAACCTTGTGGACCCTGGTTTTGCTGCTGCATCACCATGAAGTTGGGGGGCACATTCCCCTGCTGCACCATAGAATTACGACTAGGAGAACTGACAGGCTGTTGAAATCCCTGGGGAAGTGTGCTACTCTGGGGAGGCCTTGGTCCCAGCTGCTGCTGTGCCTGGTTAACTGTTGGAGATGATGCAGGAGATCCCTGCTGGAAGGAGGAGGGAGAGGAAGCAGGAGACTTGTTGGTCAGGTGGGGTTGCTGTAGTGGCGTAGGAACCCGGGAGGGCCCTCCCTGAAGTGTTTTCATTTGAGGAGCAGTGAATTGGCCAGGATTGCTCATTTGGGGAAAGTTTGAGTGAGCCTGGGAAGCTTGCTGGCTCCCAAAAGGGTATGGAGGTGGAGGGTGGGTAGGAGTTTGCACTGTTGCTAAAGATGGTCTTGCTTGAAGTTGCTGCTGCATTTGTCCAGGCAGTGGGGCCTTTTTCCAGCCCGGGTTTACTGTCAATGTGCCCAACGCTCCCTGGGTTTGAGGAGACTGAAGTGCTCCAGAAGGAAGCTGGTTCCAGCCAGGGGGAACTGGAACCTGTGCTGGTGAAGTGAAGGGAGGTCGAATACCCTGCTGTGGCTGCTGATGTGGCTGGGGAGGACGTGTCTGCAACTGTGGCTGCTGCTGTAGCTGCTGAAAGTTGGCCGAGTTCATCTGCCTGTTTACAGGAACTGACTGCATTGAATGGAGCTGCGGAGCTAAAGATCCAGATGGATGATTTTGCTGCTGGATATTTAGCCCAGATAAGAGTGGGTCCATTGCATCTATTAAAATAGCAAAAAAGAGTGAAAGAATTAAGTAACCTACTGCAGACAAAAACCACCAGAAAACAGGAGAGGGCAAACTGCTCGCTTGCATTTGCGCTCTCTGCTGACATTGAGGCCAAACAAAAGTACTCCAGTGCTCCAATTGCTGCAATGTATCGGACAGGCAACGCTCTAAAATAAACTCAGAGAATTTCTGGGCACCCTAGGGAACCAGGTTACATGAGTCTGTCACCTCCACAGCAGAGCACGGTGGCTCCAAAGCACTCCTTGCCACAAAGCTAAAGCTTCTACACACTCATTTTAGGGCCAGTATTCCTACCCACTTCCATAATGGCGCAATGAGGGATTAAGACAGTATGAGGAGCCTGCATTCCCAGCAGGAAGTCCTAGAGGTGTGCTTTACACCGGCACATGTCGCAGGGTGGTAAAGTGGCGGGTAAGCATTGCCACTGTTTCTCAAGGGACAAATCACAATCCCGCACAGGTGAAACAGCCTCAACTGCAAAAAAATTGCGCCAGCAGAGCCGGAACACCCAAACATACACACCTACCCCCCAGTCCTTAGCTATCTGTTCTATTTACCTCTCTTCAAAAGCTCAATCTGGTTCATTACTTTTCTCCTGAAGACACCTGCCTCATTCAACCAACCCTGTTCTTAACTTCATCTAAATGTAAAGCTCAGTCGTTCACTGGCCAAGTTCACTGCAGCAGAATAAAGCAGCTCAAAGGGGCTATATGATATTGGGATGCCCCAGTGACAGTAAGTTCGACTGCAAAAAGGTACAGCCGTCACTGAAAGCGCCTGAAACAAAACCAAAACAAAAAACAACAAGCAAAAAGATGCACTTGAATAACCTGGTGACTTACTGAGGGGAGAGCAGCAACATCCTAACACAAAATCACAGAGAAGGGGCTGGAAGGGACCTAAAAGCAGCACCCAACACACCAAGGCTTTTCCTGGCGGGCAGCTGTGTGCGCCTGGCTCCTCCAACCAAGTGCCTGTTCTGAACGACACCGAGGACAGCAGGCACACCCACACATCCCAAACCTGTCCTTTGATCATCTCAGAAAGGAAGCTCTGAATCAACAGCACATAAACGAGGTTATTCCAGGAGGAGGGCCAAGATGAGAGTATGTTACTGTACGGTGGTTAAAAACCTACACAAATAAAACAAAAAAGCCCCCAAGCTTAAGCAACTCTTTTTAGCAACTACAAAGCTTTCCAAAATATTCCTGACCACTTTTGGTCTGGAACCATAAATTCACTTATGAATGTAATTTCTACACTGTCAGATGAAAAAAAAAAACCAACTTGAGACTGTATTGAGGTAAAGTCTGTAACTAAATTTTACTACCTGGCTGTGAGGAAGGTCGAGGTGTTCTTGGCTGCAGGTCAGTACTAGCACCACTTGCCACCATAGAGGAGGGCACATTTCCACTTTGGGACATCATTACAGCTGCAGCATTGCTCATTCTTATTAAACCTTAAAAAAAAAAAAAAACGAACAACAACAACAAAAAGATCATTCTCTCTCTTTTCTATGTAGAAGTTGCAAAAAATAACCGTATATGTTAATAAGACATCTCTTCAGACTTTAGGAGCTGTTCCTCCAAAACACAGACCTATGCCTAAAAACTTCGATACACATTTCCTTTAGGGCCAAATTTCTTAATTTAACATGCTAGCTTAACAGATTTCCCTTCACAAGGCATCAATCATCAGTGACAATCAGAGATTGGAACACCCAACGAAGAGGTAGGAGTGAGGCATCAAATCTGTCCTTCTTAAAACAAAAATCCCAATAGTCAGAGCACCTCTAAAAGGCTACAGAAGGACAAACCACCTACACATAATTCTTTGAGACTTTAATCTCATGTCTGACATCTCTGAAATCTCGAAGTGATGAATCTGTATCAAACTTACATGTATTAAGGATTTGCAAAATGTAATACTAGGGAGGTGAAAGAAATTACTTGCTTCATTTGTACTATTTTTTGGAAGCCATTTTTAGAATGCTTAATATGTTGGAAAATTGGCAAGAAGGGTAGAGCAGCTATTTTCTAAGAAAAAGTTTCTTTAAACGCTTCACATTCTTGGTTGATTTAATGATTCTTTACCTCTTTAGAAGCAAAACATGGTTAAAGTGATCTTCTCATTCATTCCTAATAACCATCATATGTATTTTAAATAATTCTGTCAAAAAGGCTTCTAGATTTCTAACTGCAGCAAATCCTATACATTGGGATACCATGTAGTTTGTTTTGCCTTACGTTTCAACTATGAAAATAAATCAGCTTTCTTTTAGACCGCCATAAATCTAAAGACTTCGGTAATTAGAAAGAATATATACATGAATTTTAGCATGGGTACAAATGCAGGGTTCTCTACATTCAATAAGTGTACAGTCAGATCCCTGATCTGATCTCAAAAGTTTGCTAAAAATAGGAGACTGATAGCAATGACAGTGCCCTCTCCTTCACATTCACTTTAGTAGGTTCACGTGATTTTTACAGCCTTTCTGAAAAAATACATAATTTTACGCACACACACACACACACACACATATATAGAGAGAGGTGTTTGTGTGTACACATATATCATTCAAATGTTGGCAGGAAGATATGCAGCCAACCAGTTATTTTACATGATATGGGACGTGGTTTGGCTGTACGGAAGGACACAGATGAATGAAAATGGCAATTACACTTCAGCTAACAATGGATATATTAAGCAGTTAAGTTATATGATAAGCTTTATTACAAAGTGCATGAAGATAAATTAAAAAAAAAAAACAAAAACAAAAAAAACAGAACTTACCCTGGCCCCCCTGCATGGGGAAACCTGTTTCCATCCGGATGGAATTGTTTGCTCCCAGGGGCCCGTTGATTCGGACATCTTGGCTTCTATTTTGAGCTAAAGCTAAATTGATAGCACCTTCCCCTAAAGGGAATACACAATTTACAGAACTGAATGATATTCAGGAAAGGAGAACTGAGACATTTGCAAAAGTACATTTTAAAACATATCAAGAAAGGAATGCCAAATTTTATCCATATGTTCTTTAAAAGAGAAATACAGTTATGCATCATGACACCCTTAAAACTGTAACCCAGAAGGTAAGAAAAGCAAACAGCATTACAAGCATCAAACGACCTCAGTCATGACCTTGCAGAATTTTACCAGGTGCTATGTTAACTGGGAAGTCCACTGAAAATTTGCTTTGAAGAAAATCATCTTGTATCAAATAACTGAGGAGAAAAAACAAACATACACACACACACTCACCCCCCTTAGGGTACATTTTCCCAATGACACTCAAAAAAATCTCAACGTTTCTTCATGATCAGGGACCTTTTCAATCATTTTTAATCACAACACCTGTCTTGAAAGAATAAAACCATTGCTTTGACTTCCATGTTCATTAAAATGATTCTCCAAATTACTGTCAGAAGCTTTGCAACATTAGCCAAGTACACAACATCACTTATTGTCTTTACTTAAGTTTCAGCATATCCAGAATAATGGAAAGAGACCAGGTGCAAAATACCTTCAATCTGAACAGAGAGAATTCCCAGGTCACGGAGTTGTTGGTTATTATTCTGAGCCAAAATCCGCAGCCGCTCCGCAGCTTCACGGGGTATATTAAACGTAACACGAACGCTGTTCCAAGGCTCTATCTTCTGCAGTTTTAACTTGTTGGATTCTTAAAAGAAAAATAGAGGCAAAGTCACTGCAAGGTCATTATTCAAACCAGTATCAATGGGACAATTTGGGTTAAAAAAAACAAAAAAAAATCACAGAAGAAAGAGGTAGTTATTTGGCTTTGAAAACATCAAGGGTTAATCTTGGAGACAGAGTTCTCCAGCATGGATGTGCAGCCAAGTCACTTCAGTTATACCTCAAAAAGTATCAATATAAGAACTTTCCAACAGATATCCAATATTCCACAGTCAAAACAAATCACTTGATCGGGTTACCCAAAAATTGAAATACTTTGGGGATAAACTACCTTGAAACGATATGTGAAAACCTAATAAAGCAGATTTCAAAATTTCTTAGTATTCCGGACAGATATATGAAAAAACAAACAAACAAACCAAAACAGGAATGAAACCCTCCTTCTTTAAATCTCTCTGCAAGGCACTTGTGAAACCATCTTTTTGTAGCAGGCCTGTCCCAGAGTCTAGGACTTAGATTTTCTCACGGCTCTGTTCCCACTTAAAGGCCCTCGCAAAGCTGATGCTACGTGAGCGTCTCCTGGTCGATCAGCTGTTTTTAAGGCAACAGATGAGAATAAGCAAGAAGGGTGGCCAGTTGGGTCGGATGTAATTGTATGAATTGGTACCTAACCAAAATATTGCTGTGAATTGCATTTAAGAGTGACTTTGAATGAAGTTACTAATACCAGTTTTAAAATATGCAGGTTTGCTTTTTGAATAAGCAAATTTTGGCCCAAATTCTACTCACCCACTTCTTCCACAGTACCAGACCAATTAAGCTCGTTTATTCCCTGCTTCTGAACAGTGTAACATCTAAGAACAGCAGTACCTCATCCCCTCCAGGCATCCCCTGTACTGACCTAACACAGGGAGCCCCTGCCGCTGCCCTAAGAGCAGCGTTAAATGGATTCTCTTTCTGTCCATAAACAGTCTTTGTTTGGAAAGGCGACAGCAGTCATTCAAAATCTTCTCACATTTGAATACAAACAACTGAGTCTTCACATTTTTCAACGGCCCTATATTTAATGTTATTACCCAGAATCACAGAGAATGGCTAAGGTTGGAAGGGACCTCTAGGGATCATCCAGTCCAACCCCCTGCTCCAGCAGGGACACCCAGAGCCCATGGCACATGGTGGCATCCAGGCAGGTTGGGAAGCTCTCCAGAGCAGGAGCCTCCACAGCCTCCCTGGGCAGCCTGGGCCAGGGCTCGGGCGCCCTCACGATGACGAAGTTCCTCCTCACATGCACACGGAGCTGCCTGGGGTTCAACTTGTACCCACTGCCGCTTGTCCTGTCACTGCCCACCACCGAGGAGAGTTTGGTCCCTTCCTCTCTACATTCTCCCCTCAGGTACTTGGACATATTGACCAGATCCCCTCCCAACCTTCTCTTCCCCAGGCTAAACAGGCCCCGCTCGCTCAGTCTCTCCTCACACAATAGATGCTCCAGCCCCTTCATTGCCTTTGTCGCTCTGCGCTGGTCCCTCTCTGGAAGCTCCACGTCCCCCTTGTCCTGGGGAGCCCAGAGCTGCCCCCAGTGCTCCAGGTTTGGCCTCCCCAGAGCTGAGCAGAGGGGCAGGATCAGGATCCCCTCCCTGCCCTGCTGCCGACGTCCTCCCGATGCAGCCAGGAGCCCATTGGCCTCCTTGGCCACGAGGGCTCTGCTGCCTCATGGGTAACTTGGTGTCAACCAGGACTCCCAGGTCTCTCCCCATGGAGCCGCTCTCCAGCAGGTCAACCCCTAATCTGTGCTGGTGCCCAGGGTTGTTCCTGCCCAGGTGCAGGATCCTGCACTTGTCCTTGTTGAACCTCATGGGTTCCTCTCTGCCCAACTCTCCAGCCTGTCCAGGTCCCTCTGGATGACAGCACAGTCCTCCGAGTGTCGGCCACTCCACCCAGCTTGGTATCATCCACAAACTTGCTCAGGGTGCCCTCTGTGCCCTCGTCCAGGTCACTGATGAACAAATTGAACAGCACTGGGGCCAGTACTGACCTCTGGGGGACACCACTGGCCCCAGGCCTCCAACTGGACTCAGCCCCATTTATCACCACCCTCTGAGCTCTGCCATCCAGCCAGTTCTTGATCCACCTCACTGTCCAGTCCACACTTCCAGAGCTTCCCTATGAAGATGTTACGGGGGACGGTGTCGAAAGCCTTGCTGAAGTCAAGGTAGACAACATCCACGGCTCTCCCCTCGTCCAGCCAGCCAGTCATCCCATCATAGAAGGCTATGAGGTTGGTCAGACGTGACTTCCCCTTGGTGAACCATGCTGACTACTCCTGATTACCTTCTTTTCCTTCATATGCCTAGAGATGCTCTCTAGGATGAGCTGCTCCATCACCTTTCCGGGGACGGAGGTGAGGCTGACCGGCCTGTAGTTTCTTGGCTCCTCCCTCTTGCCCTTGCTCAAGGCTGGTGTGACACTGGCTTTCCTCCAGCCCCTCCGTCACCTCGCCCATTCTCCAGGATCTTGCGAAGATGATGGCGAGTGGCTTAGCTGTAACACCCACCAGCTCACGCAGACTCTTACCAATAGCCCTATTTTTAATATCTAAAAATGGTATCACCAGCTTTGGTATTTCCAGATATTAGCAGCAGTTTCTTCTTGTGCCTTCCAAGATGGTTTTAGATTTACCCAGTACAAATGTACATTACAAACATGTTTGTACATTCTGAATATCCCATTTTGCTCTGAATTAGTTTAAGGAACTGTCACGTTGATCATTTTCAAACTAATAGGGCATTAAAATTTTCTTTCCTGCTTTCTCAGCTGGGGTTTGAATGATTCATTAACCCTACCATTAGTCTTGGTAACAAGCAGTCTGCAGATGCCTCCACTCAATGGCATCTCCACACAGATGCAGACTGAACTTGCTCCCACGCAAGCACCATGCAGCTCAACCGTAGCCTCAATGCACATCCTTTTACATCAGCAACTATGTTGGTTTTATGTTTTCTGGCAAGTATTTATAACATACAACTCAAACCAGTTGGATTTCTTCTGTGTTTTTGTCTCATCCCAGCTTTTTTTTTTTTTCTTTTTTCTTTTAAATCTCCCCTGAGAGATAATGACAAAGACCCCAACAACTGAAGCCAGATACAACTGAACTTAGACAAAACAGAAAGAAAAGAACAAAGTGATCTAGGAATTTGATTTGCTCATGGAAGAGTCACAGATCTCCTTCTGAAACGAAAAGGTTCTTTCCCTTACTGCGTGCAAAACAATGCCATGAACGTTTTGAAACCCAAATTCAAGTCGAATGAGCTTTCTGTAAGCACGAAGACAGCCTGCCCGAAGCAGCGACGCTTCACTGCGCTGTGTGGCTTCACGGTAAGAACACAACACAGCAGAGCCGGAGAGTTGGAAGGGCAACCTGCAGCTATCAGCAACTGCTTCACCCACAGCAAAGAGGGAGAGAAACTATCAGCAGTTACAGGGACTTTCGGCCTGCAATTCCGAGACACGTTCAAGTCAAGCCGGAGCAGCCCTGCTGTGACCCCGCTCTCTGTCCGTTCCACTTCTGGTTCCTCTGCCTCACTGCCTTCACTTGCTTCTGTAGCAAGCTACAATAACAGCAAGGAATTAACCTAACGAACCAGTCAGTTCATTGGGCCAATGCATCATCCAAGCAAAGGCATGAGCAGCATCGCTCGGGCCGCTGGGGCGGGTAGGGAGCCCATCACTGACCCCACACACAGACCCAACCACCGCAGAGCCGCACCTGCACCAAACCGCGGCCGTACTTAAGGCCAAGTTGTGGCACCTAAGCAAGACCTCAAATCCAAAATGCTACAGCTAGGCCTTATAAGCCCTAGGGAGACAGGGACAGATTCTCTTTTGCAGAGGTAGATGTGTTTATGAAGGTGCAACTGCCCCCAGACACCGTCAGCGCTCCCTGGCAGGACACGCGTGTCCCCGGACGCCGGCCAGCACACAGGGCAGCGCGAGGACGGACGCGGTCCGAGCGGCGAGGCAAGCACCGCGGCAGCTCGAGCTGCAAGGTGAGCGACAGCAAACCCACGCACACGTGGAGGGCAGCTGTTTAAGCAGGAGGTGGCACAAGCAGCCGCTTAGGAAGCGGGTAGCCAAAGCTTCTCCCATTCGGGCACGGCTGGTGTTACCTTTGTGCAACGGAGTAGAGTACGATGGAGGGAAATGGAAGAGAACAAAAGCAACATGCAGGAATCAAACAGGAATAAACTCAAGAATGAAATCACAGTTTTAAACGATAATATAGGTGGTGTGTCTCCTAGAAGGACAGCTCCCAATTCATCACGAATAACCCAAACAAAAGCCCTCATCACATAATTAGTTATTTTGAGGACAGCTGAAAAATGACAAAAAAGTACATTACCCATGTGTAAAAGGCCAGGCACATTCTCCAGTATGATACTTAGTTTCTGCTCAAAGTCTCTATCCCCAATATTTCCTTTAAAGGCTACAAAGATGGTGGAATCTTCAGAAGCAGTCTCCTGCTTCAGTTCATCTTCCTCCAGTCCTGAATCAAAATCCACCTCCAAGTCTTCCATCGTTGAGGAGTACAAGGAGATACATGTATCTTTTAAGTCTGGTAGATCATCCAAAACCATCGTTTCCAACAATGCAAGCCAGTCAGATATTAAGAAGATGCTTTTAAAGAAAAAAAAATCATAAATGCAGCATACAAACACATTGACAACTACATTTGAGGTCAAGCCAATATTACTATCAAAAAACTTACCAGATGACCCAATACCAGGGTCAGTGAGACAAACTGTGAGGTGTTGAAAACTGGAGCCATTGCAGTATCCAAGTTGTTGGTCCACTACAACAAAAGTCGTTTCCTGGCAGAATCTTCCTACGCACAGTTTGAAGAAATTGAAGTTTCCAGTTGCTCAAAGATACCTGGTTATAAGGGGGAGGGAGGGAGAAAAGAAAAACCAGTTACACTCACACCTTCCTATCAAACCCAGCGCAATGAAGAGCCCAGTATCCAGTCTACAATGCCCAGCCACCAAGACTGTAAACTTTATAACAAAGTTTTAATTATAGGAAGGTAGAGGGAACTCCTCCCAATTCCATTTGCGGGACTAGAGGTGTCACAGACACTTCTTTACCTAGAAAAGCTGTAGGAAAGCCAAAGCCCATTCTTACTAAGAAAAAATTAGCATTGACAAGAACTCATATCCAAGGAAATCTTGGGTATTCCTCTTTGCCTTCTATGCCTTCTCTGTGCATACTGCATTTGTTAAAAATTAGCTGTAAACACATTACAACCCAGAAGTTGTCTCCCCTATGCCTACAACAACCGACCACATACACTGCTTCTGTGTTTAGATATGAATGAATTCTGCAGATGAAGTCATGCATTAGGTGTTTTTTACTTGATAAAGTTTCTAGACCTTGCAATAATTTCATTGACATCATTGGAGTTATCCAAGCTGTTATATATATAGAACAACAACCTAAGATAGAGCTTAGCCCTGTATCCACATTGAGGCACATCAACACTTGGTCAAGCTGCCCATTTTCCACTTTAGCACAAGCTGTTTCGCGACGGTGGCAGCTTAGTCTTCCTCGGCACGCGCTCCCTAAGTATTAGTGGAAGAACTGAAACCGTCCACACCAGGAGCCCGAGCTGACCACCACTGTGAAATCATCAGGTTGTTCTAAACCTAAAGCTGTCACAGTACTCAGAGCGATCCACCCAAGATTTCCGCTGCGGATGACATACCCCAGCATGGGATACAGGTTGTTTTTCTGGCAGAGGTTCAAGTTCCCACCACAAATTAAAACCACAAGTCAGAGATTAAAGACAAACTGCAGACAGTAGCAAGAAAAATTTGTTTTTTAATGCTAAGTACATTAGAAAAGCTTAGCTTTGGGCCCGTGCCATTCCCACACTCGCTTAGCTTTGTGAAGGGACAACATTACAACTGAAGAAACAGGCACTCAGAAGGCCCAGGACAGCCCCAGCGTTAGGTGCTGTCTCTATGCACACACTTTCCATTCCAGAGTCATTTTACAAAACCAGCCTTTTTTTCCCCCTCCGCCTTGCAATCCTACACCACAGTAGATAGATGAGATGGCATTAATGAATAAGGAACTATTTTACATATAGGAACTCTCTCCATCCTGGGCAGCACCAGGCCTTCTGTCTTGAACGCTTTAGTTCAGAGCTCAGGTTTAAAACCAATTTAAGTCCGCAAGATCATGCCGGAGGTAAAAATGCTCCAAAGACCATTAACGACTTTCTGGGAAAAGCTGATGGAATTGATTTTCACACAGAAGTTACCGGGCCACGGCTGATCCGAACCACGAGCTGATTGTTTCTCTATAGAAATAACGTCCTTAGAGCGCAGCCACGCTGTGCACCGAGCACACTGGCAGCCAGGGAAATACGACTGTGGGTTTTGAGAAAAGAAGCGAATTTGTCTAAATTTTGTCTAAATAATAAGAGAATTTATCTAAAAATTGTGCATGAGATTTTCAGGGAGAGAAATTGCTGTTCAATCCACAACCTGTAGGTCAAAAAAGCCAAATTACTTCGAGAAGAGGGCGTTTCATTTCCAGCAGGAACCATGGTGATTTTCCAATAATTCCTACCACACACTAAAAAAAACCCCCTCTCTCTCTCCTTTGCAAAAACACAAACCTTTCAAAACTTTCTCTGAATTATGGAAATATATAAAAATAAAAGTGAAGTCCTCCATCGTGCTCCTCAAGGATGTTTTGATACCCATCTCTCAATCACACAGCCTCGAGCCCCCTCCCTCGAGCGCAGCTTAACTCCCCTTGCAGGGCCTAACAAATTCCAGCTGCATCCTCCGCACTAACAAATTCTGTAATCGCCCGGTTATAAGGTTGACCTTCATAAATCAGAAGCCTGCACGTGACCGTGACCAGTGGGAACTTCACAAAACACTCCTCTACATGAGGACAGGAGCCTTTCTGCCTAAACACACATATGGAAAACTCTGGACACACAGTAATTCCTATGGACTAGATTATTTTCCAGCAGACTGTGACAGTCTCTTTGATGAGCAGGAATCACCCTTGAATTAAACTACACAGTTCAGTCTTCTCTGCTCGAAGAATAAATGTGGTTTCCAATTTACACAACGTTTCTGGAGATGGACAGCAAGCCCAACGCTATTTAACAGCACTTACTTAGGAACAGTTGGTCTGGGTCAGCCTAAAGCAGCACAAAAAACATCTTAGGCCTATTTACGAGGAAGTTGGCTTCATTTAGTGCAGTCTAGTTGTTAAAACTGTGTGGCTTAAGTAACAGAGTTGGAGATAAGTAGCTGGATCTCAGACTGATAATCAAAATGCTGGTGACCTATCAAAGGACTAGAAGTGAGCTACACTCCTGTAGGACAGGCTGGGGGCAGAGGGTGGCCGGGGGAAAACCACGAAGGCTGAGGTGTCCAAACCCAGAGAGAGAGTCAGCGACGGTGAACGGTGAAAGCGGCAGCACTGCAGACAGGACTGGTGATCTCCAGAGGGGGGGAAACAAAACAAGACCAGAAAACCAGCGACTCCACGCGGGTATTCTCACCCTAAGATCAGCCCAAATGACCTAAAGTCGAGCTTAAGGCCCCATGGGGGCCATGGTGGTTGGTCCGCTGAGCGCGGAGCGAGCGGTACCAGGCAGGGGCCGCCCGCACCCAGCGCGTCCCTGGACGGATGGGCTTCTGGAAAGTCTGCACGACTGACAGCACCACAGAACACATGTCCCCTCAGAGCAAATAGACTGGAAACCCAGAAAGAGCAGTATTGTCCCCCCAGCCAATTTAAAAGAAATAAATCAGGAAAGAAAAAGCATGTTTTGCAAAAGATGACTGCAAAGGTGCTTCCTTCCTCGCTTTTAGGCGCCAGCGAGAGAATAGTTAAAGGTATCAGTAAAGGATTTTTAGGATGGGGGTGGATGAGTCCATCCCTGTCCCAGTACCGGTGAAGAGGCTTTCTTCAAATACCCATCATAAACACACACAAAGGGATAATTTGTTTAGCTAGAAAAGCATACGTTAAGTACGCTGGCTATAAACCCTAAATATCATCAAAATATCATCATGCTACATAACTAGATTGAATGTAAAAACAAGACAAACGCACACAGACTAAAAACAAACTTAAAAATAAACTTGGGCATGTAGCACAAATTCCTCCGAAAAATCCTACCCAGAGCTACGTTCCAGTAATTAGAACTTACTCAATTTCAAACTCTGGCATTAAATATCGATAACACTATGAAGGCAGCCCAACTGCTGCCCAGCTACTTAAAGACAAGAACCTATTAGTTCCTAACCTAGTTAGGACAAGAATACATAACAACAAGAGATATTCACCTGCATCGTACAATTCTTTTACCTACCAAAATGAATTCTGCAATTTCAGTCTTTTATGTCACGCAACAGCTCTTCAATTAACTCCAGACTGGCAAACATTGTTGAACAGGAACTCCCAAAAGTTTAGTCCTGAAAGAAAAACATCACGTGTCATCAGATAAACTAGGTCTGCAAGGATGCAAAACAGCATATTGGTTATAACATGGTAAATATACTGATTTTTCAACATACGGTTTTACAGCAAAATCCACGTGTCTCCATAAGGTAAAAAACACCTATAGTTGAAATTAATCTTTTATAACAGCTTCAGGACAGGGAAACTGGCGCAAGCGGCATGCGGTTTGCTCCAGAGACACTGTTTCCTTGCGGTCCTTACGGGTCTGCAGGGGCACCTTGGATGCTGGACACGAGGAGCAGCGACTCCGGGGCGGGATCTGCTCCTGGTCGCGGGCTCCGTGTGCCACCCACCAGCCTTGCGGGCTCATGAGAACACGGCACGAAAGCTGGCGGCCTCAGCAGAATGAAACGGAGCCCCCGGATGGGGATTTTTTCCAAAGAAGTCTTCTACCCACGTGCTCTCCAGTACAAAGCTGAGGAGGTGACCTCCCCAAAACAAACCGCGGAAGCACAGGAGGGGGCATCGTGCAAATGCAAAGCTGAAATGTGTTCTCTTCACCGATACAGCACGGTACAAACCGTGGAAAAGGGTCCATGTTGTGCCCTGGTCTTGGCACTTCTGCCACTCCAACAACGAGAAGGGAATTAACAGGATTCCCACTAACTGTTCCCAGGCAGCGGGAGGAGCCAGCACTTCTTCCATACACATTTCCTAGCACTCAGAGTCACTGACAATTTTTCAACCTCTGTATATTTAAGAACACAACAGATTACTACGGTAACAGCAGGAATCAGCACCCGGTCAGGCTCCAGGTGCATTACCAAGGCAGGGACAGGAGCCGCTGTTTGGCAAATGAGTGATGAACTGTACGAGAAAGTCACCTGAGCAATGTGGTGCGTGGAACCGAGATGCTTCTTGCCCCTCCCTATCTCCCTTTGGGGAGGATGGATGACTCTCCTTCCCTGAGCTTCAGGAAAAGATGCTCTGGAGACACCCAACAGCTCCAGAGGAGGCCAGAGCTGGCCCAGATGGGTCTGGGTCAACACAAGAACCTGGGGAGGGCAGCTAGCGGATCGAAAGCAGCTCGTTACCTCCTGCTTTCATTAAAGCGACCTGCTCACAGGCTCCTTGGAAATGCCCGGAGCCTGCAGTGAGCACTGGCACCTAAGAAACGAGAAACGCAGCCCGGTGATGTCTGTATACGAAAGTATTCCATCCGTACACAAGTTTCAGTTATATCTTATGCTTATATCTTTCAGTGTCTATTAAAAAAGGAAAAAAAACTCTACAGAAGATTCAGGTTTCACACCTCCTAACACAGGATTACTCATTACTATTCATGTTATTCTGCTATCTCCATGAAGTATAAGATGTCTAAAAGCAATTGTTTCCCAAAATGAGGAAGCGACAGCTTGTTGCAATGCATGTGGCCTTCTGCATACGATGGCTTGATGCATTTTGATAGCATATTGCCTCACGGAGCATTAGTTAAAGTTTCACAAACTTTGCACAAACTGCCCAGCTCGTGCCAAGCCGCAGCTCTACCTGGGCCGCTACCTCTTCCGTGCGTGCAGCTAAGCGGCCTCCTCGGGGTGCCTCGAAAAGGGAGGCAAGGTTAGACACCCCGCACAAGTTTTACCTGAAGTCAGTCAGCAAGCAAGCAACAGGAGAAATTCCTTAAAATCAGATGCCCCTTGACGAGAAACTGCATTTTATCTCAGTTTCCCAAAGGCTATGAAAAAAAATCATTTTCAAGTGGCAACTCATTCACTGTGCGTGTCATGACAAGCTTTTTACTTTTACTAAAATGTTTTAAAGTATGAAGAGAAGATTTAAGTGACCACAAACAGCTTAAGGGTAATTAACGTCAAGGAGCAGCCTTCCCTTGACCAAAATGATGCACGACGATGTACACGCTGCTGTTGATGGCGCTTGCCCTGAGGTTTTCCTGACCCAAGGAGGAACCCGGAGCACGTTTTCGGCTGCTCCAGGCTTTTAGCAGAGTGAAATTACTGAAGTCTTATTTATTGTCACCACTGCTATGCAGAGCCCCATAACCACCGGTCCACCTGGTGCTTCCTGGCAAGCCTAGGGTGTCCAGGCTCACGAAGGGCAGCCCCAACACCCGAGCGCTCCGTGGGGCAACCAAAACACCAGGCGCTACCGCGGCCCCCACTTCTGGGGGGCGATGCTTGGATTTCATACGAGCACCTTGAGACTCTTGTCTCGAGAGCACTTCCACTGCACGTGCCTGGCAGAGGCCGACTAGATCCTTCCCGTTCAGGCACTTTCCAAACTCAGACTCCCACACATACAAATCAATAGAGGCAACTTTCGGTGCTCAACTCTTGGTTTCCTTACAGACATACGCACGTAGCCACGGCAGCCGCCTTCTGCGGTACAGCTGTGTACAGACCCCATCTGATCCGTGCACAGGGCTGTGCTTTGGGACTGCTAAATCAAGGTGGAGACGGTAGAGACCCTCTCAGTCCCTGGGAGAGGACAGTTCTTTCTCTAGCTCCAGTACTTTCTCTGGACTCCTTTCCCCACCAGAGCTCCCAAACCACTTACGGTTTTCCTTCCCACTATGGTAGCCAGGACAGCAAGAGAGTGTCAGGAGCCCGATACACCACCTTGCACCAAATCTTTGCGTTCAGCTGGTCACAGGAAGACAGGCGCCCTCAGGCTCAAACACGCATCACCTAAACCAGGTCCTTCCTGCAGGAGAACATCAGCGACCTATTCTGCTAGTGGCAGAAGAGTAGGGGAGATTGGTGGAGCTGAGCATCAAACAAAAGCCACAGTGACCATTGCCTCAGCAAAAGAAAAGTGTTTGTCATCTAGCTAACAGATGGAAAATATTATACCTCAAGTTGATGATGCATCCTCCCTGCCTCAAGTTTGTCTTGAATTATTTTTATTCCCATTTCCTCCCCTTAACTTCTCTCAACTCCACGTACTTTTTTCCCCAATGCGCTTACCGGCCCAGCAAAAAGCAGTTTCTGCTGGAACAGTCTGCTCAACGCAAGACGTTGTCGAGCGTGGGTCGTGTTTTCCTGGGGTCTACATGTGAGCAGGCTGGCACCCGGCCCCGCCAGGACTCCCCGCACACCAGGGGGTCCGCGCGGCTCAACGGGCCCTCGGGATTTTGAGGCAGACCCCAAGCCCACGTGTGCTGCGTCTCGGGGCCCACCGCAAACCCACACAACCTCATCATCCCAGTGCCCTCCAACTGTGGCAGCCACTTGAACGCCTGGGCATCTCGCGGGGCAAATCCCTCGAGCTGCAAACCCTGCAGATGCAGCGCGTCTGCGCAACTCAACTGCGCGTTGTGCAACTGTCACCTGAAAGCAACTAACGCAGCACTCAAACCTAATCCACCACGAGGCTCTTCAATACTTCAGTTTCAAGTTTAAAATATTTAACACCCGCTGTAAAGGCGGGCAGTACCTAACTGTATCATACTCAACAAAGAGCAGTAGGAAGGCTGTTCATCAGAACTTGGCTCCAAACCTCCAAATCTCCAAGCATGTAAGCAACTAAAAAATTTTAAAAAGAAAAAATCCTTGGCTTATGAATGTGCAGCTTTACAAGTCTTCCTGCTATAAAAGAAAAAAAAAAAAAGGAAGGAGAGGGGGTCTTTTTCCTGCTAGGAGAGTGTAAAATGACTGCATCACCCGCTGGAAGCCAAATGCAAGCATCTCCTCCCTGTGCGTCCCCCTGAACAGGGAGATCCACCGGGTCGGTTTTCCGGCCCAACTCCGAAGCCTGGCACACTAATATACTTGTAAACACAAAGCGCTGCAGAGCAAGTCCTCCACCGGGGAGCTGCGGGTGCCTGGGCACAGGCGGAGGCGCCGCGCGGGACCCCCCTCGCCTCGGGCCTGGCCCCGCGCGGCGCCGCGCGTCTCCGGGGCGCCTCGCTCCCGTGCGGGGTCCCCAAAGGTTCCATACCCACAACGAACTGGTCCCCAGAGCTGCACTGGGCAGGGCTGCCCAGAGGCGAGGACAGCGGCGCCCCGTCCCCCTGCATCCCCGCAGCGCGGGGCGCCCCGCGGGGCCGGGGCCCTCCCTCGGCGGGCACGGGGAGCGCGGGGAGCTCCCGGAGCCCTTCATTTCACCGCCGTGCCGGAGCGACGGGGTCAAACAAAAGCCGAACGGGACGTCAGCGCGGCGGGCCCGCCGTGTCACACGGAGGGGCGCCCGGGGCCGTGCGGCCGCTCGGCGGCCCGGAGCCCGCGCTGCGCTGCCGGGCG